AACCTAATTTTGATTGGCTTTAGGTGTTTAGGTCATTTGTCTGTGAAGAAATATGGGATCACCAGTTTGGTCACTTTAGCAAATTGCATGTATAATTATGCTTGGAGCTGAAAAGTGTTGATATGCTGTAATTATATGATGATGATACCTTGGTGTTTCTAAATTCAATCCTCTCATTATAGAATGTGGTTTAAACATGGAATTAAACTGTATGAATAGTGAGAACCTGACGGAAGAAGGAGATATTAGTGTGAACCTAGAACTACTGTTTGAGGCCGACCTAGGTAAGTTTGGAGATGTTTAATAATTATTGAAGGAGGAGCATAGGTAGTACCATAGTGGAAATTTCTTGGTCATAAAGTTTTTATGAAATGAAGAATGTGAGATTGTTCATGGTTGGAAGACATTGATCCTTTTGATCAATTCCAAAAATAACACAATAAAATTTATTGCTTTAAAATTACAAAGTAAACCCAGACTTCTTTGACTTACATGTTGCTGCTGTATGTTATTCACCCAAATTCTGTAACTGCATTTTGCTTATAACTATAATATGCATTCTCAGAAAGACCACAATGCACGTTTGAGTATGTGACCTCTCTTTTTCTTCTTTTTGTGAATAACATGTATCGATGCTACTGACTAGCCTCCATTTCTCAAGTGAATCCAAAATCCTCTGTCTCTTTTATTTTTCCCGTCCTGATCCAGTATCATATATCGGCTGTTGTTCAAAAGAAAAACAACCATCCTGTTTCTCATGCTTGGTGTTTCTGTCTAATTTTTGTGGGCATTTCTAATGGAATTGAACATAGGGGAAGCCTGCATCAACCTTGTGAAATATCCTAGTGTTCATGAATAATATTTGCTTTGCATGATTGTAAGGTGATAAATTTGAAGTGCAATCAAGGCATCAAAACTGATGGTTGTGGAAAAACTTTTTGCACAAAGTTCATATGTGGATAAAACATTTCACATCCACTTTTCTGCAGGCAAAATGTGATGCATTTAGAAGAAAATGAGAAAACAGAGAAGGAGATGAGAAATCAGACTATCAATGATGCTGAAGGAATCAACAAGCTTTGTGTGAGAAAAAGCAGCAACACTGTGAATCTAACAAAGCTCAGAACAGAGAATGGGAGAAGGTAAAATTTTTCTAGGAAGCCACATTTCCATGCCACATCCCAGCTCTCTTTTGACAGACGCACACACTCTCCATGTTCCTTCCACCTTTTACGATTGTAAAATGAATGTGTTCTTCTTTAGTTGCACATAGCCAGTCAAGAGACATTCCATAGAGAAGCAGACCAAAATTACCGGCAAGACAATGCGGAGCTCATTCGTTGAGGGGTGCCGAATGTTGAAAAGAAGAGAGGTGGGAAAGATATTGATAAACAATATTCTATCGTGGTAATTCCGGGTGAAAAGCCTGGAAACTCCTGCGTACCTTCCAATGATGATTCATCTTGAAGCTGAAATGAAGCCCTCCACCTCGTATGAAGCTTCTGCAAAGGATAGGGACGATGCCAAGGATGCAAAAGGCAGTAAAGATGGCAAGGATGCAAAAGGAAGGGAAACATGCCAAGAATGGGAAATGTACTACACTTGCAACTCTTATGGCAGCTGATTCTGCCATTGGAAAAAAACATGCTTCTAAAGATGCTGCAAATGTAACTTGAGTCTGCAGCATGTGTTTTGGAGAGCTCTCTTGGCAACTGTAGGATTTTCTGGCAAAATTTTGTGCAATTATCTAGCTGAATCTTTCCTTGAGATTTACACCTGATTGTTGCATTTCTTGATGAGTCATTGAACTATTTAGACGTTCTGTCCCGATCATATTGTGGCAATCCATAAGCAGTTGAAGTTTCAAAACTAGGAAAACAGAAAAGGTGCCCCCCAAGTTGGAATCATTTGGATGTGAGCAAGAAAAACTCCCAAGGCTTGACTTGTCGTGCTAAATATTCCAAGTTTGAGTCAAGCGCAATCCTAACAAGTTAGGTTCAAGCTGTATGGTTATGGTGCAGATGCAGTCCAGCAGAGCTTCAAAGTCAGTTAGATATCATAATTGAGGAGTAACCATAGGGGCATGGCCATCACCTGAAGACTTTGCGGTTCGACCAGTCTTATTTTCAAAAGTTCATAGCGGAGGAATATTATAGTATTATAGCATTCCTAACCATTTGAGAGGAATCCAGGTTTATGGTGCCCTTTTGAACGGTTATGCACACAAAGTGTTTGGAAAATACAGAGGCCAAAAAATGTTCCAAGCCTAATATACATGTAGTTTTGTTGAGTTCGACAAGGAAAACAAATATTTCTGTCAGTTCTATTATTTTTCCAGATCATTGGCTAGCTGAGTCTATTTTTCAACATTGTTTATGCTGCTTGTACATCCTGCCTTCTCTGGAGATTTCTGCAAGTCTTCGTTCGATAAAGCAAAAGGATGCAAGATATTACTAAAGGATATATTTTTCCTAGCCTGTGAAAAATTTTCAAGTCTGATTCTGCTAATGCTAGAATTACGCTCCAATATCTAAAGAGAGCTGCATCTGTGCTCATTCTGCATAATGAATGTTTAAGCCAAGTTTTTAAATGGTGAAAAGAAATTACTATGGAGTGTCAACGCTTAGAAGTAGCTGGTTCAATTGCCACTTTTTGCAACAGCTTTAGTAGGAGAAAGCAGTAGCTGGAGCTGCAGCTTAGTAGCAGTTGGTGGATGCATTTTTCCTGCAAAAAATATCAGGATACAGATTTGATGCCTCTATTTATCATCAATGCATAAGAAGAAGAATAACTTTTTTGAACTTCAACTTCATCCACATGTGATCCAGCAAGAGCTGCAAACCAAACACCATCTAATATACTGCATTGATAATTCCCCACGTCTTCGATAGCTCCTGCTGAAGCCATTGGTAAGGTTCCTAGTTTCAACCATCCAAATTGTGCAAATTTAACTAAACCTGTTAAATAGCATTCCACTTCTTCTATTTCATTTCATATACTTTAATCGAAACATTAATAAATGCAACAATCAGGAGTGAAGCTTAAGGAAAGATTTGGCTAGATAATTATCCAAAATGCAGGAAACAGAATATTTTTACTTTTCTTTTGGCACATAAAGCCAGAAAATTCCACAGTTACAAAGAAAGCAGTCCAAAACATATGCTGCAGACTCAAGCTACATGGGCGACATCTTTAGAAGTTGAAGCATGGTTATTTTCAGTGGCAAAATCAGCTGTAGGAACTTTCTCCATTCTTGGATCTTTCCTTTCTTTCGCATCCTTGGCATCTATCCCTTCTTTAGCAGAGGCATCATATGGGGTGGAGGGCTTTGTTTCCACCCCAAGTCTTTGAAGTAAGATCGATATACCAATCTCCAGAAACATCAAACAAGACAAAACAAATGCAAATTGCCAAAGTTAATGATAACAGACATTTGTTAAGATGGTCAAATTGGTGATTCCAAATGACTTCATACATAAAGGATCTCAAACAGAAAATGCCAATCAAAATTATGCCAAAGATTATTTTTCAAAGTCAAATTGTTTAGTTGTTGACTTTGCTTAGTATTACCCCTAATCTTTCCTTGAAGTTACTCAATACTTATAGTTTCCGGTTATTCTTATATATATTATTATTATTATTATATAAAACTAAAAGAAGTAAACATTTCACTATTCACTTACTGTAGTGTCGGTCTCAATTGCACTATGGATCGCTTTTTTGTGATTTTTTGGATTTTGGTGGGTGAAAGTTATGCAACCTTTTACACTTTGGTCCTTGATATTTTTGAATGAATATTTCGATCCACCTATGTATTTGCTCATCCATTTTGGTCCCTGGATATAGAGAGAAGGGAGGGAGGAAGAGAGAGACTGGAGGAGAGAGAGAGATCACGGCCAAGCTTATTTAGGTCACTTTGGCCTGCGAAAATCCACTAGATTTTTTTATGTTTGACAAATGAGTTTGTACATGATAGTTTCAAGTCATTAAACAATTAGATGAAATAAATCGAAGATAAAAAAGGACAAAAAATTTGATTGTGTATTTTTTTTTGTGTACATTAAAATGATTTTTAAGGTTTTAAACTTGTTTATTGACTTTATTCGATCATTTAAAGGTATTTGAGAAAAAAAATAATATCGGACTTCAATTTTTAAGGAGTCCGGAACTTGACCCTTGATTTTTTGACAAAGATTCGACGACCTCGAGTTCGTTAAAAGTTGCAGTTTTTTTTTTTCTTGGGTTGAGCAGTTGGCCACGCATGGCGCGTGGGCCTGGCTGCACAGAGCCAACTAGGTGTGGCCTTTTTTTTTTTCAAGTGCAACGTGATTGCGGAAGTCAACCAAGCACCTGTCCTAGTTGGTTTGTGCCAACCAAGCGCCTATCCTGGTTGCACAAGCCAACCATCGCATGTCTTGCTTTTTTTTTTTTTTTTCCTTCTTTTTCCTTCCTTATATATATATGGGGAAAAAAAAAGAGAAAAAAGGTATGCCAAATAAACAAAAGTTAGAAAAATATAAAAAAATAAATTATTATTTTTTTAGTTTTGCGTACCGTTTGAATTTATTACTTTATTGTTTAAATTTATTTTTTCAATTGTTTGTTTCTTATTAAATTTCTCATCAAATTAATTTTTTGATATAATTTTATTTGTTAATAAATTTAGTTTTTTAATATATGAATTTTAAAATAAATTTTAGAATATCAATGTTTTATTTTTTAAAAAATATATTATTATAATTTATACAATAATTTATTTTTCTTTTTAATGAGTTTTTAATATATATATAATTTATCGAAAATAATTTTGTTGTAGTTTTTATTTTAATCTGTTGACTTTAATATATTTCTTACAATTTAGGTGGTTTTTTTTGTATATTTATTTATTTATTTTATATATCCTGAATTTGTTAAGGAAAGTATATATATATATATATATATATATATATGTATGTGTGTGTGTGTGTGTGTTCAAAAGGGCTAGAAGCCGTTCATAAAACGGAGCCAAATCCACGTTTGAGACATCGCTCACATTTGTGACATTTTGCACCTTTACATGGATAGTTGAGTTGTAATATCTATTGTCATAAGTCACCAATGAAAAAATCTGGGATGGCAAGAAACAACTGCCTCTTGCAGCATCGATACCATATCGAAAAAGAGCAGTTCTGCACAAACAGTTTTTTGAACAAGCCACCTTGCAACTCTCCAAATCCACGTTTTCAAGGTCGGAATCAAAGATGGCGTAAGTTGTGTTCTTGATCTCTAGAAAACTGTGCTTTGAGGCTTCACAGGACAGAGTAGTAGTTTCAGAACAGCCAAGATTAGGCTGCCTATAATCTACTTGCTTGAAATAATTTGTTCCATCGATGGCTGATGGAGGACAGCTACACTGCCCTTTTGAGCAAATTCCATAATTCCCACAAACCGTAGGGTAAGAACATTCACCTAACTACTTTAAACTATAAGAATGCATACTCAATTTGAGAAGTATCATGCATTAGAATCAGGGCATCACTTATGAGAGAACTTGACAGATTTATCATCCTACTCCATCCATTAATATCTTTAGACATATTTAAATGTGTAAGTATTAACTTGCATCAGGTGGATGCTAGTCCCAAACAAAATAATTACTATACCAAAGAAAAACAATATGATTATAACTTAGAATGGGACGGAAAGCAACTTAATGTTATAATCTCAGGTTCAAACCAAGCTTTGGTCCCAAACAAATTATTTGGTTGAAGCAGAGGAGTTCAATTAGAATGATGAAACTTTAAATAAGTTCTCCGATCATTAATTGAATCTACTAAACCACAAATTGACAGACATAAATCTGAACCAAATGCTAGTCCTAAACAAGACTAATCATAACTTATATGAAACAATTATGTCACCTTTTCCCTTGATGAACTTCACAAAAGCTAAGTAACTTTTTAGGAACAAGATCATCATCTACCACCAAGGATGTGGTGTCCACATCTGCAGAGAATCCTTTGCCTGTCATCTCACTAATAAGTTGCACTGCCCTTGGATCCTTGTGCTGGAGAAGTCCTCGGATAAAAACATTATAAGAAAAATTATTTGGTGGGCAGCCATCCTCTTCCATTTGTCTGACAGCTTTGTATGCTTCATCTAGCAATCCTTCTTTGCAAAGTCCATTGATTACTGTAGTCCAAACGAGAATATCAGGCTGAAGGCCTTTGATAGATAATTCTGAAAAAAATTGAAAAATGAAAAAAGGATTTTGATCCAAAATGTTTTAAAATGGGAGTTGGGCCGTGTTTTTGGGTTTGGATGTTTTTAAGTGATGTCGATTGGGCTTAGCCCAACCCGTGTATAAGTGGGCTGGACTGAAATTTCAGCCCAGTCCAAAAATATGAAAAAAAAAAAAAAAAACAAAGAAAGAAAAATTTTGGGCTGGAACCCTTCTGGAAAAAAAAAAAAAGGGAAAAAATTTATGTGTCTTAATTTTAATTTTGAACTTATTGACTTTTCATGTGTATCATTTTAGATGCTAATTTGTTTTTTGTTTTTTGTTTTACTTATTTTAATTAATGCAAATTTAATTCAATTTATTTTATGTATGTTTGTCAGTTTATATTTAAGTTAGAATTTATGTTTAATTTTTTCATAAATATTTTAATTAATGTAATTTTTATCTTTAATTGACTTTATACATGTTTGTTATTAATTTAAAGTTTAGTATTTGAATTTCTTTTAATTTACTTAATTAGTGTGGCTTTAATTAATTTATTTAATAATTAGACTCGATAATTAATAGATAGAGGATTGTCAAGTCTCATGATTCTTTAGGGACCGATGACGATCTTCCACAAAATTAAAAAAAAAAAAAGGGAAAGAAAAAAAAAGTCATAAAGCTTTTAACAAAGTCTCCTACCCGATAGAGATTGTGTTAGTTAAAAAAAAATTATTTTAGTAATTTAGGTATTCTCTAACATACCAGTTGTATTGAGACTCAAAAAGTGAATTCGTTATTTGAAACGATATGTCTCCTTACGAAGTTCAACGACCATTTCAATACAATGTCATACTAAAAAATAAAAAACTTAATTTGGCTTGAAAAATTAGAGTTTAAATCAAAAAATAATTTGGCACAAATAAAAAACTTTAGAAGATAAATTTAAGGATTAAATTAGACAAGGTACCTTTCTTCAAAAACGGCACTTTTGAGTGATTAAATATCTTTCCAAAAGCTTAACCAATTTTTTATCACAAAATCTCTAAACTAGTGTCCGTTTTAGGTTCCTAATTCTTTTAATACTAGGTGGGGACTCCAAACTTGTGAATAATTCTATAAATAAAATAAATCTTATATTTTTCGGGAGTCTCGTCCGACGTCGAGTAGCGACAAAAAAAAAAGGTCCTCTTTTCTTCAGTTCACTTTACTCTTCAACTTGCAATAGGACTACACGCTCTCGCTTCTCCTAGCAATTAGTATTTCTCTGTTGCCAAATTTTCGTCATTCTTCTAGTAAAGAAAAAGGGGTATTTGTACTCAAAAAAATTGGCTTAAGTGGAAAGAGATCTAATCGCTTAAACAAGTGTTCTTGGATTGAAAATAAAAACACTAAAACTTTGTCAACACAAGTCAATTGAGTCTTGGTCTAGTTTGACATGATTGTTGCCACATTTTCCAACTAAATGTCTCTGCAAAATTTTCAAAGTTGGAATGCTTTTTCTAAAGTCCATTAATTATGATGATTTTACATTTTGTGGGATGACTAGGAAGTTGCGTTTTATCTGGACTTCATGATTTCGGGCCTCTAAATTTATTCAGTCAATAATTGTGTTTGTCAAAAACATTAGTAGCATATACTCTATAGGTATTAAGTCTTATGCAGGCGAAGGCACTAAAGAGTAGGGTCTAGCTTGATTTTATATAACAATTATATATCCTCTTTCTTTAATTGTATTAGCTCTATAGGTATTAACTCTCATATCATTAAATTTAAATTAATTGATCATGATTTATTATTTGATAAAAATAAAATAATTAACTCTTTTTTATTTCACCTAATCTAAATATCCAAACATTTTTTTAATAATATTAAGAAGATTCAAATCTAAAACACTAGCCATCAATAAGGACACCATTTTTTTTTCCAACCTAATTTACAAAGGGTTAAAGGTTCAAGATATCCCTCTAATATTTTAAATATCTTAATCGTATCCTTCAATTAAATTTTTCAATAATTGTGCCCTTCTACTCTTACGTTGTGTCTACATTTTGTCCCTCCGATCAATTTTTCAAACAACGAAGACAATTTGACTTAAGAGTAACAAGATGCCGACATGTGGCATTAATTTTTTTTCCCTCTCAATTTCGAATACCAATAAAGAAATAAATGAAATGGAAAAAGAAAAGCCCTAAATTGCCCTCACTTAAAAAACTATGACCTTAAGCTCTATGTCCCCCGAGAACGAATTTTTCCTAAATCGCCAAATCTAATCTAACTTTCTAATGACTAAAATCAGTTGAAGGATTGTCGGTGGTCAATCAAAGAAACAAACTCAAAATCCACAAACCATTCTCCAATCCCCTTCTCTCATACCTAAAATATGTCCTAACTAACCCTAATTTGTTTTATCTCTTCAAGTATGATTGATTGATCGAAGAAAGTTAAACATTGATCTCTTTAATTATGGCCGATCAATCAAAGCATCTCTTATTTGTTTAGTCCTAAGCATTCATTTGTTCTTTTATTTTTCTATCATATTTGTTTTACTTTTCTTCTCCTTGTGTTCTCCGACACTCAAAATGCAATCCCTCTCTTTTCATGTTTGATTCATTTCTCTAATTAATTGTAATTATGTTAATAATTTGTTTTATTTTAATTCTTTTTAATTTTTTGTTATTTGTTTATATGACTTGCAATTAAAACTATTGTTTTGAAATGCCACAAGAAAATTGATTCTCCAAGCTCGTCCAATGAGTCAAGAACTAGAAGAATTATTCCAATCATGTGCTATAAACTCCCCAAAGACCAGATATGATTTTGAAAGGGATCCTCTATTCTACAAATGTGGAGAACGAGTTCTAAGATGGACATCATGAAGTAATCTTCACCCAGCAATGAAGTTTTTATGTTGTCCAGTTCGTGTTGCAAGTAATTAGAGGAAGGTTATTGGATGTAATTTCTACAAAAGGTATGAACCATTTATATTGATTAGAACAAGGGATGTGATATTAGACATGAGATAAAGACAAAAACAATTGAAAATAAAAACACTAAAACTTTGTCAACACCAGTCAATTGAGTCTATTGAGTCTTGATCTAGTGTAACATGATTGGTGCCACACTTTCCTACTAAATTTCTATGCAAAACTTAAAGTTGGAATGCTTTTTCTAAAGTCCATTAATTATGATGATTTTACAATATGTGCGATGACTAGGAAATTGTGTTTTATATGGACTTCACGATTTCGGGCCTCTAACTTAATCAGTCAATATTGTGTTTGTCAAAAATTTTTAGTAGTGTATCCTCTATAGATATTAACTCGTATGGAGGCGAAGGCAATAAAGAGTACGTAGGATCTAGCTTGATTTTATAGAACAATTATACATCCTGTTTCTTTAATATGCATTAACTCTTTAGGTATTAACTCTCATATCATTAAATTTAAATTAATTGATTATGAGTTAATATTTGATAAAAATAAAAATAATTAACTCTTTATAATTTTATTTCACCTAATCTAAATTTCTAGACATGTTTTTTTGATAATATTTAGAAGATTCAAATCTGAAACACTAGCCATCGGTAAGAACACCTTTTTTTTTTTTTTTGAACCTAATTTACAAAGAGTTAAAGATTTAGGATATCTCTCTTTTATTTTAAATATATTAATCATATCCCTCTCCTAAATTTTTCAATAATCATGTTCTTTTACTCTTAATTTGCGCTTACATTTAGTCCCTCCAATCAAATTCCAAGCAACAGAGACAATTTCTAACTTAAGAGTAATAAGATGCCGACACATGGTATTAATTTTTTTCCTCTCAATTTCGAATACTAGTAAAGAAATAAATGAAATGAAAAAAGAAAAACCTCAAATTGTCCTCACTTAAAAAACCATGACCTTCAGCTCTCTATTCCATTGGGAACAAATTTTTCCTAAATCCCTAAATATAATTTGGTCTTGTTTATGGTAAATGGAGAACTAGGTATTAATCAACTAGTGGCCTACTTCTAACCCTTCAACCTATTAAGCTGTGGAAACTAATGTGAACATCTTTTATTTTCTAAATCAAAAAATATATATAAACGTTATAAAATTTTAGAAAATTGAAAGCGTGTATATATATATATATATATATATATATTAATGGAGAGCACTCCATAACATTCTTTGGTGACTCGTGCTTTTAAATGATGAATTTTATTTTACTCTAATGAAATATATGAAATTTATCAAATTAATTAT